ATCATTCCCTAGGCATACCAACATGCGCACATACACACACAAAACTGTGGACTAGAGAAATGGCTCGCTCCATGCGTGAACTAACAACATGGTTAAGACAGTACAATTCAACTTGCATGTTACAGTATAAATATAGAATTTGTATGTGTGTGTGTGTGCGTGCATGTGTACTTTTGGGGATTTCAGTTAGCCAAACCTGGACATTTTTCTAGGACATTCTGAATGGAAATCAGTTTAAAAAAAATGCTCCCATATTTCTGCAATACATGTTCACTGACCATGGTCAGTCTTAATTATGCAGGGATGGGTGGAAGAAAATTCTTCTCTTACATTTTTTGAACTTTGTACTTTTCATTATCTCTTTAGTCTCAGAGTCCTCGCAAGTCCCCTAATATCTTACCCTTGTGTGTAGATAGTGCTGTTTTAGTAAAATTATTATTCAGCATTACACTAGGCACTTCCAAGGAGGCCTGGCATCTGCCAGCAACCTTAGGCACAACTCTCATTGCAGTCAATACAGCAGCAAGATTAAACTAAGATTTTTCTTTAAAACTCAATTTTCTCCATGCAAATCTCCAGGCTTATGCAAATCTGAAGCAATTAGTACAGCTATTCCAGTAAAACTCAAACAATTAATCATCTAAGGATTGTTTAAACCTTTTAATTCCTAACACATTGCATATGCCCAAACCATTTAGCTTAATCAACTGATCAAAGCTGATTAAAGTCATTGGGAAAAGGGAGAGGTTATAAATAATTATAACAGAGTATTTGCTTCCTATAAAGTGAAAATGACATCAACCCAACCCAGCTAAAGTGAATCAGGGCCATGTTACATTAAATGCACATTAATCAAATGGATTAGAGTCCCAGTGAACAACAATTGCTGGGAGACCTGGGTCTGAAAACTCTATAGCTTTCTGGAAAAGCTTCTGGCCTATTTCTGGAACAACATGTGGAACTTATTACTCTGAGGAATGTATAACATTTTGCATCTGAAAAGGCAGGGGAAATTATCAGTCTATAATCAAGTATGGATATAGCAACAAATCAAGTCCAGCACAAGAACTGCATTGAATAATGCCCTAATTTTAATCGACCCTACATGAATACATCCTATATAAAACTGAACTAGATTAGAAGCCATAGCAGCACAAATGTAACTACATTGTTGGATAAAAGTGTTGGCAGGTTAACACAATGATCTGTTATCCAAAGAAAGAAAAAGAGAGAAGTATGCAAAAGCCAAATAACACCTTTAACCTTTTTTTTTTATGGGGGGGGGAGATAACTCAAGTTAAAATTTCCTGGATATTCAATTCATGAATTTGGACCTGAATTAATTTTCCACACTATCACCAAATTAAAACTGCCATGCGTTCCATGGGCCCATGTTACACAGATATGATTGCCACATTTCATCTGTTTTCCTCTGAAAATCTTGCAAAAAACTTTGCACAGTATTCTCTGGGCCAAAACATGCACAGAGGTAAAACAGGATTTATTATTTATGTACAGACAGGAAATCTTTGAAAACCTTTAGTACCAACTTTGGAAAATGGGCAAGTATTAACTTCCTGACCCCTTGATGGTCAGTGGGAACAGGGAAGACTGAGAAAGGGAGTGTCCTAAAATTCTAAGTCCGTGTTTTCCATTTTTCCTTTTGTGTCTGTAGATTCTGTTGCAGATACTTTCCATTCTATTGGACTTGTGATGCGTATCTGCCAGTTGGCATCTATACTAGAACTCCTACATATTTGGCTTGGCATTGAGAAGGATCAGTTTTTCCCAAGGTTCTTACAGGTATGGGCAAATTACCATCATATTCAAGAAGACCAGGGCTTTGACACTTGGAATTCAATCAGCTTTGGTTATTCTTATTGTTCATTGAAATCCCACAGCAAACATTTCTGGTGAAATAGAACCACCCCAACTTGGGAAGTCAATCACAGAAGGTTCATACATGACTGTTTATTCACTGTGTGAAAGCACATGTATTTGTGTGCAGGTCCGAGGTTATACCTGGAAGTTGCCTCGGATGTTTTTCACACATGCAGTTTATGTTGCCTTAACTGAAGAAATTAGGAGATGTTAGCTTTTTTTCCCCCCATTAATATGTGGGGAAAATACTTTGAATTGATGTCAATCACTCTGTAAAATGAGTTATCTAGGAATCCAGATATCTATATTGTGCATTCTAGTGTCATATCCAAAGAGGGCGATTGCTTACTGCCCCTCAAAGGCATGTAAGTGCCAGTTGCATATGGATTTCAGGTTACACATCTTCTCACGTAGCTTAGTTCCTGTCCTTGGATCAGGGAGAGGGAACCTCTACTCCCTGCAGATATTGCTGGACTCTGGTTCCCATCATACCTAACTACTGAACGAGCTAAGATTAGCAAGGAATCATCCAGTCAGCTTTTGGGTGTTTCAGACCTTGTTTTTGCCAGCCTTGCTTCCAGCATTATAATCACACCAACACACTACAGCCAAATCATTCAGGCTTTTGGTGTAATATTCAGATGTTTTGAATCATATAATAAAATAAGACACGATGTGTGCAACTTTGGCCACTGCTGCAATAAGCCACTGGTTATTGTGTATACCTTCAAATTATCCCGAAAGTCCTGGCTAAACAACACAGTGCTTAATTACAGTGATCAAATCCTACCAGGAAGGAACACATAACAGGGTATCCATTCCAATACCAATTATCTGAGCAAAAATGGAGGAAGAATAATGCATCTAACACTGTGCAATTACTGCTGTCTTCCTGAGGCCTTTTTCTGTCAAGCAACAGGTTGCCTGGAGGGCACAGTTCCCTTTTCCTAGAGGTCCTAATTGAGCTAGGTGCCCATAGCTGCATACAATTAAGTCACGGGTTGCATATGGCCTAGAGGCCACAGGTTACCCACCTCTGCCCTGAATCAAATCAAAATAGCACTCAGAAAATAGTTGGTTTGCAAACTCTCTATTTTGAGTCTCAAAAGACCCATGCAAAAGGAAAAGGGCATGAGTCAGTTTCAAAAAATAGAAATTGTAGTAATTTTTTTTAGAAAAATAGGTTAACTGGTGACTTAAAAAGAAAGGAAAAGGAGAAAAGAAAATTAACTAGAATGAAGATAGGTTTTGCATTCCTTCAATAGAATTAGAATTTGAGAAACTGAATTTAGAGGACCAATAAGAAAGATACAATAATCAATATTCCACACAAATGCTAGAATTTGCTGTTTTTCTTTAGCATGAAGATTACATCCCTCAGAATTGATTGCTTACATTTATTATTATATTAATTATGTGCTATTAATTGATTTAATATCCAGTGTTGCACAGACTAAACCACAAAATAGTACCTGAGAAATCTGAATGTTTGGTTAGAAATTGGGAGTTCATGTATGAAGGTGAAAGGAATTCAAGAACAATAGTATAAACGAAAAAGAAGACATCCATGTGTATATTTTATAAAAGAGCGGCATGCATGGGTTTTCAGTTTCTGATACTTGATCATAGAAGACAGGACATGGACATTTGGATTTCAAATTTCAGTCTGACTTTAAAAAAAATGAAAGCCAACAGTGTGAATATGAAAACGTGCAATTTCAAAAAATAATCTACAAGTAGTCCTTATTTAGCAACCACAATTGGGACTGGTAGCATCATTAAGTGAAGAGGTCATTAAGAGGGAAATCATGTGACTGCAACTGGGCTTTCCTTTTCCCCATACCCTCGCCCTAGCATGGTGCTGGGATAGCTGACTCAAAACTGACAAGATTAATCAGTTTCACACCTAGGCTTTTGTCTGCCTCCTAGCCACTCTCCCACCCTTTGGAATGCTCACCCCGGCGCCGGGATAATTAGCAAGAAGGGGATTGTTTTTATTTATATTCCTTGGAGAGGAAGGGATTACAAGAGAGTAAGCAGGCACACAATGGGGAACACACATCAAAAGGCATGTGGTGGTGCCAGCAGCAGGGCTGGGAGCTGTGAACGTGCTGTGCCCCATGCATTCTCCCCCGTGGGCCTGGTTACTCTTCCTCTCCAAAAGAAAAACAACAGATCACGCACAGGACAATGTAAACTGACTGTAATGGCGATCACATGATTGAGGGATGCTGTGAAGGTCATAAATGCGGGCATTGGTTATAAAGTTATTTTTTCAGCACCATCATAACCTAAAAGAGTCGCCGATGAGGCAGCTGGTAAGCAAGGACTATCTGTATATTGTTTCAATCTAAAGAACTCATCCAA